AGGGATGCATTTGTTCTTCTGTTTTTCTAGTGGAAGAGCAAACATGCTCTTTCAGTAACCCCTATATTCCGGCTTCCAAAAGAAGGTTTTTTTCTGACAATTGGTCCAGTCTAGACAGGCCAAATGTTGGAAAAACCTCTTCCTACAGAAGAATCGGGGGGAAAAAGTGGCAGTGTAGAGTGTATAAGTGCTGCGGACAGCAAGTGATGAAGAGGAGGAGAATAGAGAGGATGGGGCTTCAAGGAAGAGGTGGGGTCTTGGGGGAAGGATAGGGCGGTAGATCTTTGCTTGTTCTGAGTTTTAAAAAGTGAACTTGGGTGTAAAAAGGTTGGAGACAACTGCGTTAATGTATTCCTATCTCAAAACAGAACTAGTTTAAGGTACACTGTCCTTTTACTGCACATCAGCTGAGTCCACACAGTCAGTCAGTCAGTGCCCAATACATTAGAGTAGTGATGGGCAATCTAGGCTAGTGAGTGGGCCACATGAGTGGTCATAACCAAGACGGTCTCCTGAGAGAGGGTAGTTCTGCTAACTGTGCTTGCGAACCTAGAATTTGTGGAATTGATTTAACCATAGCAGCGCTCTGATTGGATACACAGGGAGCGTGCAGCTCTCAGTGTCAATTGTTGTGTGCAATCAGCATGCATCTCACTTCACATGCCCTTGCTTTGCATGCATATCACGTTAGCAGTAGGAAAAAAAATGTATGTGGACAGAAACCAGTGGAATCTGGCAACCTATGGTAAACAAAATGACAAAATGTCTTGGCCACACACAGAACCCCAACAGACCACAGGTTGCCTACCACTGCACTGAATGCATAAGAATTTACACCCCTCTGCTGTGAACAAGACATAAATATATGGAAAAGACAACCGGCAGGCAGGGTAAGAATGAGATGAGATGAAGATTAGCTGATCAGAATCAAGTTGCAATATATAAACATTTCTCAGCATTTACCTATATTACATTAGACAATCTGAAGTATAACAAGGGAGGACTTCACTTTTTGCTTACACTTTTCTTTGCTGCATGAATATCTGCATTTCCATGAAGAGTTCCCAAACAGATCACTTTGCCTCCTTTAGTTTCTACACAGATGTTATGGCTCTGAAAAAAAAAACATATATATGAATCAAAATAGTTTAGTTCCAGGTTCTGTTTATTTTTTTTTTCAAACTACACAAATCAGCCTTGATTTGCAATCCTCAGCAATTCCACTTCTTGAGCTTCTTCTGGAAGACTGCCGAGCGTGGTAAATAGTTTTGAAGTACACATCTTTCAACTGTGGCAAAAACCAAACTAATTTTTCTTTCTGATTCAAGATATACAAAGATGGATCACTCTGCTCAGCTTTCATCTTGTGAAAGCAACTATTTTGGAGACAAATGGTGTCACTACCTTAAATGTGGAAATACAATTCTTTTTTAAAGTAAAAAAAATACCAAATACCATTTTAATACCAATATTTTGTGGCTGATCTCACTTGAAAACCTGTAATAACTGGGTTTCCAATAATGCCAAACTTGTGTTAAAATGTTGCACTGTTGTAGAGATCAGCCATTAGAAAGTCACTTGCTAATTTTCATTGATAGAAGTTGTAGATTTTAGGACTCAGGGCAAAAATTATTCAACTGCCAAGTTTTACCCATTTCCCTTTCTACTGATAAAGATTAGCCAGGAGACAGAGACTTAGTAAAACATCCAGCATGTTAGGGGGAAGAAGATTAAGGTCAAAAGCTTGAGAACAAGTAAGTCTCAAATAGAAGTGGGTGTAATTATCTTTCATATTTGTGATAATCTTTTCTATCACCCCTTCCTCAGCAAATGATATATTTACTACACTTATTCAGAACAGGCAGCTTCTGCTGAGATAGAAGTATCACTATGTAATGAAAGACCCACCAAGATTTCTTACTCCCCTCTCTTTTAATCTCCTCTTCAT